ACAAATGCAGCAGCCAGGGATCCTGACACAGCAGCCCTTCTGCAGGCTGGGTCACCCAGAACTCTGGTGAGACACAGCAGTTTGTCTCTTGGAATGCCCAAAATCAAGTTATTGGAGATCTCTGTCTGTGCCTCAAGACAATTTACATAAAAATATGTTTTCGTGGTCTTTGTCCTGCCCACATCACGAACCTCTAAGTGCAACCAGCAACTTCAAAACACAGAACAGAACCAAAGATGTCCCCACATGTTGTGAGGCTCTTCCAGAACAAGCCATAGATTAATGTCTGCATGAAATGCTGCAGCAGTTAACTTCCAGTATGTCGTGGGACTGGATATTCCTTCCAGAAGAGAGATTCACCCAGCTGTGAAGGTTTTCTCTGTCATTTCAGAAACAGCCACATTTGCTGAAGCTTTAATTCATGCATGTGGTTAATTTATAAAGTGAAACAAAGTGTACTTGTTAGACAAACTGCATAATGATGAATCCAGAGGGGAAAAAATAGAAAGGAGGTACTAGGAGAACCACATGTGAAAACCATATGGAAGGGTGTTCCACCAGCTTGGAACCAGATGGAAGAAAACATTGTCCCTGGACACTGTACAGAGTCCTACTGATAACACATGATAAATCATTCACTGACTGTAAGTAGGAGAGTGAACATCACCACAGGCCAAGCTGTGCAGGGACAACAGGACCACGAGCTGGAGGACATTAGATAAAAGGACAGCATGAAAAGCTCAGATGTTTCCCCCTCGTGTAGATCTAATCTATTATCAGTGGGGACGGCCAGAAGAGCTGCAGAAAGGAACAAAAGCAGAGCAGCAGGGGTGGAACGCACTGGAGGAAACCACAACACAGCCAAGTCTGCAAGAATGAGAGGCTGAACCAGGGATATGGGGGAATTGTCTAGATATTCACCCCTGCAAAGAGGAGATGAACTTAGCCCTGTCCCCAGGCACTAACTTTGCTGTGTGAGCTTTGGCAAGTCATTTAAGGTCATCTGAAGTCACAGTGCACCCTCCCATTCACTCCAAAGCACTGCTGCCTTCCCAACCGCGCTGTGTTTCCCAGGGAGCCTAAATCCTTCTGCCACGCTCCTGCCTGTTGGACTTGAGGGTTCTCTGGCACATCATCTGTCTTCTCGGGAAGGACAACTGCTCCTGACACCAGAGGACTCCAGGTCAGAAGACAGGACAGCAAAATACACATAGGTGACACTCAGAAGTAAGTTGGACAGAAGGTGGCTCTGCTTAATGATCAATAATATATTTATAGCCATCAGTATAAAAAAGCACAGATTCCTGCAGGAGTCCTGCCAGACATAAATGGCCTGTTACACTGATGTGGAGCTGCAGATTTCAGATTGATAACTAGCTGAAGCTCTACATCCAGCTGAACTCTCTGATCCTTCTTATGGTCTGAGGGGTCATTCCCAATCATGACTCCTGTGCTCTTGCCAGTCTTCTCATTTCTTGGGTCACAGGGAATTTTCCTACAGGGGGGAGGGAAGCCTAATGATAAGTATGACTGCTTCATGTCCCCATGGGCACAATTATCTGTGTAAGCACCAAATGACTTTAAAAAGGCCTGAAATATCTCTTCCAAGTGCAGTGAATATTTTTTAAAGGCAGGAGCCTCTGTAACAGCCCCCAGAGCAGGATGGGTCACTGTGCAGAGAGAGAGAGAGACACACAGACAAGGAAGCTGACCAAAACACATGCATGTAGGACCACCAAGGATGACCCTAATTAGACCACCCAGCCACTTCGTTGGCCCTATTGAGAGGAGCCAGAATCTCAGAGCATAAAACAGTGTGTCCTCGTGCGGGTTCCTTGGCCTGGGTTTTAGACCATCACATATCTCCAGCAACTTCCTGCGACCGACCCCTACAATAAATCATCCTAGCCAGCCTCCCTCCTTCCTGGCAACATCCTGTTCCTCCCTCAAAAATCCTCCCACTCACAATTCCAAGGTTTGATATCAATCTTAAATAAATGCCTCTCTGGACTTTGCTGCATTCCCAAAGCCACCTTGTCTCCTGTCTCTCCAGGACGGCTGCAGTTCAGGAAGCACATGCAGAAGCCCCTCAGGCCTTGTTAATTTTACATCCACCCTTGTGTCCTCTTTGTTTTCCCCATATTTTCTTACAGAGGGGGAAAGTTATCTTCAGGAGAATGTACACTGCAGTACAACTGTGTGCTGTGACTTCTGGGAGGGAAAAATTATAGTCCAAAAGAGAGGTAGTGCTGCAATTTCCTTTATGAAATATGGTGAGAAGAAAATCCGTGAGAGAGGTTCTGCTCCATAATCTCCCTTGCTCTGGCTTCCCTCACTTCACAGTTTAGGTGAAGGAAATCTACCCCTCGGAGTCCCTTCCTCAGCACCCAACTGACAGGGACCAGCTGTCTCCACCTGACCTTTCCAATTCCCACCCAAAGCCCTGCTTGAATTAGGGTATCCCAGTCAGGAAAGCACCAGCCTTCGCTCCCCAGATCACCACCGCAGCAAGCACAGGCACCTACAGCAAGTCAGCCAGCCCAGGGTATCCATCCCACCCTTCATAAACAACTTGAACTAAGCAGGATGAATCCAGGCCCTGACATGAGCTATGTCTCTGAAAGCCCAGGGAATAACTTGGAATCACAAGGAGCCACATCTATGCCTTGATCCAGCAATGTCACTAAAGACTGGTTCACGTTGGACTTCTGTAACCCTTTTGGTTACTGAATTACCTCTTCACCCTCAAAACCTTGTGCTTGGTGCCTTGCAGGCTACAATCCCTCCAAAGAACAGTATCACACAAATCAATGAGATTTGCCTGCCTAAATGTCACATTTACAAGGTGATACTGGTGCTTACCTGCTTGCCTACTCTTCTTTTTATCTTCCTCTGCTCTACCCTCACCTTTCCTTCCCTTTACACAGTACCAAAATGCCTCTGATCATCCAATCCTGCAGTCCATTTCCATGAGGATCTGTTTCTGGCTGGGGAAGTATTCCTTGAGTCTCCCCAGATCTGCATCTCTTTTTTTTTAAAAACCTAAGTGTAACTAATTCATTAGGAATTCACTTGACAACGAGCCAATGATCATCTTCAAGAGAAGCAGCAGCGAACTAGCAGATTTCCAAGTCGGAAGGCAAAAAGCCGGAGAAGCAGCAAAGCGAAGAGGCTTTAGTCAGAAAAACGAAGTGGGGTGACTAAGACGGCATGGCAGGCTCCTAAAATGCCCTCAGAGTTTACAAAGTAATGTTATTCCCGGGATGCCCTCCCTCTCCTTATCGTGCAGCTCGCTCAGGCATGTCACTGACATGTGTACTTAGCAGCAGTTATCGTCAGGGGCACAGAAATAAATGGCAGGTATCAAAGAACCAGGGTCGTCAACTCCCCATGAATATTTCAGGGGAAAAGCGACGTGAAAAGCTCCAGTGACCCAGCCTCTCAGATTCCCAACAGAAGGAGTAAAACACAACCCACACACACACACACACACAGAGCTGCCTCGGCCATCACAAGCCCGTAGCTCATTTCAAGGCAATCCCCCATATGTTACGAGACAATCTGTCACGTTTTAAAAATATATAAATATATATTAGATATCTCCCTCCTGTATAATGTGCAAACTCTAAGCAGCTGGCAAGAGGGCAGTGGTGATTTAATGCAAGAAAACTGTGCTTTGCTGAAGGGGCTGGGGACTGGGGAGCTGGGGCTGTAACGAGAAGCCTCTTTGACAAAGGCGCAGAGTGGCATCTTTTCACACAATTATATGTGGGTCACATTAACCTCTGCTGGGCAGGATTCCCCTGAGCTGCCTCTGTCTGCGTGTCTCTGTGAAGAAATCAAAGCAGAGATTCCTCTCTCCTTATCTTCCCTTTTTTTTTTTTCCCACAGTATTGGGTGATGGAGTGAAAGGCTGGAGAGGAAAAAGGGGTTCCCAGCTCGTCACACGCTGAACTCCAGAGCAAACTCCACATTCAGGGCCCAGCAGTCCCATTAATGAGATATATGTTATCTGAGATTTCAAGCTGAGTCAGTGCACATATATATTGCTATTTATAGCCAAGGAGACTGAATTCACTAAGTTCCCCTTTCCACAGGTATGCCATGGAAACTATTTGAATTTTGCTCTGTGCATGAAGGGGCAGATGGGCAGAAGGCAGGCACACATTTTTTTTTCACAGGCTTTGGAGGTACAAATTTTCTCCTGTCAAGTACAACTGGAATTCATAAAGGGAAATATCATTAAACCCGTTATAATTCATCAAAGAAAGCAAATCTTTTTTTGACCGAATAATTTGGGTATTCCACTGTTCTGGGTTGGCTCGTTTTTTAACATGTTTGGAGGCAATTTTAATTATCAGACAACTCCACTTCTGGGAGCAGGGTGGCAAACTTGCAGTGAGATAAATCTCCCACTTTCAGTGCCTTGAAAGTCTGTTTTTTATAGATTTTGTTTGTTTGTTTGTTTGTTTTCCAGGCACATCACCACACTCTTCATGGTACCTCTGGACTCAGCTGGTTTGATGTGGTCTATAACAAATGAACTTTATGTCCCATGGCAAACTGGATTTAAATGACAAGATCTTCTAAATTTGAGAAAGTCACCGTGGAAACGGGCCGCTTTCATTTTTTATTGAAAGGGGCTCTTTCTCAAGGAACGGAATCTGGAAATGAAGGAAACATTCCTTGCAGTGACAACTGATACTTACACTGTCATTCAACTCCAATTACTGTGCTCATTCACACATTTTCAGTCCCAGTGGGCTGCAGGGTTTTGAACTTGCAGAACACAGTAGCTGGAAAACCTTTGAAGGCAGCTGGAGACGGGGAGATAAGGACACAAATGGGAAGTGTCTGCCAAGACACCTAAAAGCAAAGATTAAACCCAACGATTTTAAAGGTATTTGGGCATTCTTCACATGGTGAGATCAGTTCCAGATCATGGGCTGATATTAAAGTACACTGGGGCATTCCCAGAACCAGTAATTGCTGCTCACCTTTCACCCTCTGCTGCTCATTTCCCCTCCATGCCAAAGTGCTCTTTCCACTCGTTTGTGCCAGGAAAACTCCGTGTGACCAGGAGCTGAACCAGGCAGAGGAACTTTCCTGCTTTAAACAAACAAACAAAAAAACAAACAAACAAAAAACCAAACATGTGAAACTTCTTTTTTTTTTTTTTCCCCCCTTTCCAAGCCGGATGGCTCCTCCCATCTGGTTCCCAACCACAGGAGTAGCTGTGCCAGCAGAGCAGCAGGAACAAGAGGCCAGGAGACAGCAGTGTCTTAAACCAATGTTACCACCAAGCAATTTGTAATATCAAACCACAGGCTAAATCTCAACTAAAAGCTTTTCGGGTTCAGAGCGAACACCTCTATTAAGATGAATTAAGCAATTCAGAGTGTTCAGAGCTGCACTTTTCAAGTGCAGTTTAAATCTTTATTTTCAACACTCACCCTTTGTACTGAAAATGGCCTGATAGAAACCAGCTAGGAAACCCATTAATACCAAGTTTCTGTAGAAAAGGGTTTTGTGTCTATTTTGTTTAATACAAAAGCCTATCTCTGCACTTGCAGTCACTGCCCCTGTGACTCCATTGCCTGCAGAGACACCAGAACTACCTTAAAACTCACTAGTGCAGCTCCTGATAACCATCTAGTCTCAACAGCACAGGCTCAGCATGGACTAATTTGTCCTGACAAGATTATTTGCAAATTAGGTGAGGAGGTCAGGCAGCTGCCCTATAACCACATAAAAGTGTAGTAAACGCTGGCTCCAAGTTCATACCCTACCTAATTTTTATGTGTTTTTCACAGGGCATTCACTTCATGTGCCCCCTCAGTGCCAGGTTTCACCCATTCTTAGGCCCAGTTTCAGGCAAGGATGTGTTTAAACCCCTTGTTCAGGCTGGATTGCAGGTGTGGGCTCACCCCAGCCAGGTGAAAGGTGTGAAACAGATCCTCAGCTGGGGAGACTCCAGCGTGGTGAGGCAGAAACTGGATCACTGGAATTAAGCACATGTAAAACCAGCACAGGGGATGGGAGCAGGTTTTGCCTTGAATTAACAAAAAGAGAGGTTTCCAGTGGTTTATGCACAGTATGCTTGTGCTGCATGTAAGAGCCTTTTCCCCATCTGGAGGGCTAAACATCAGATGATGTTGCTGTGAGCACAGTTTTGGATCACAATCACAACATCCTCCTCCATTAAGCTGTGCAAAGGGTCTGTCTCTGTGTTGTCATGTGGAGGAATGAGCTGCCTGTCAGTGGGATGAGCAGAGTGTGAGGGATTTCCCACGCAAAAGGATCCAAACCCCATGGACTCACATGAACCCGTTCCAGATGTCTCCTCTGTTTGTCCTGACACGTGGCACAAGCATGCCCAAAACGACAGGAGGAGCTGGAGGAGGCTTCACACTTCCCTTTAATTTTTTTTTTTTCCCATAGTCTATTTGGAAAACACATTGCTCAAGTTTATCCCCTGCTCCGTGTTTTTGGGATCTGGGAAGCACTGCCAGAAGGAAGGATGGGCCATTGCACACCCTGTGAGAAACAAGGCACAAGGGGAGCATCCCCTTAGTCTTGCAGGGAGGTAGAAATGGTGTCTGAGCATTGCACAGTCCCCTCCCAGGCACACCCTACAGGTCAGGCATACACACACCAGGCTGACCAAACCCAGTGGAACCTTCTAGGACTGTCACAAGGGCAAGAAGATGCTGAAGTTCTCAGAGCAAGAATCACAAACGCCACTGAGTCAGACCAAAAATCAATCCCCCTGATCTCTACCAGGAGCCACTGTGTGAGGGAGGATTCAACACCCAGGCCCTCCCATGGCTGATCTTTCCCTGTTATCACAGTAATCTGCTTAATGACTTCCTACACCAGATGTCCAGCACAGCCATCCACAGAGACACCTTCCAGTTACACTTGTAAATGTTCCTTCACCATATCTGTGCCTTTGCTGATGGTTTTCCTTGACAATGCCCTCTGTAGTTCTTTAGCCACTCAGGTCACTACTTATTTCCTTCCACTTGCTTTGGACTTATTACTTGGAGTGTTCTTCCAGTCATCCTGACTCCAAAGCCTCTGTGCAAGAGCTGGTCAGGACATTTTTCAGTGCAACTTCATTGGGAAAGGTCAATTGAATTAAACTGAAATTTCACACAAAAAGAAGAGTTTCAAGAAAAGTGTGTTCTCAGGACCTGCATGGGATTTCTTCTGCCACTCCACTCCATGTCTGTTTTTTAGGGTTACTGTGTATGATGTGGGGCACCCAGAGTTTCACACTACATGCAAGTATTTACCCGGTACACAAAACTGAATGTTTCCAGGAAGACAAGCTCCAAAATCCCTCCCAGCCACCCAGTGCAGCTGAACCAGTATCCCCAGACCCACGGTGGGACACTCTGGTTCTAGTCCATGACATGAATAAGGCGGAGACCTGAGCTCTGCTTTACCCTCTCACACCATCAGCACTGGTTTGTTCTGGGCTGACTCGACTTCTTGTTCTAGTTTTGAATAGCCATGTGCTTATTCTAAGCTTGAAAACTCTTTCTGCTTCCCAGTTCTGTTCTCCTACGTACATTTCCTGTTCATTTGACCTTCACTGGAACTTCTACTTCCCTAAATGTGCCTTTGCTTCTCCAGTTGAGATCCAGTTGCTTTTCCCACTCCCTTCTTCCCTGTTCCTCCATTACTGGACAAGCTCTTGCCCTGTTACTGCAGGGAGGTCTCCAGCACTCAGATCCTGACACTGAACTGCCTTTCCCTGACACCTTGGGCCTGATTCTGGCACAGGTAGATGGGTGCAGCATGGATCTCTTCACCTGAGCCAGTATCATCAGGAAACCTTTACAGTCAGTAATAAGAAATTGGATTTTCTGAGGCGTTATTCAGATTATTATTACTAAATCATGAAAACATCTCCAGTGTAAACTAAACTCAGTTAAAAGAAATCATACTTCCTGTCTTTGCTGAGACATGATTTGTTCCTTTCCACTTTGGGTATTCTAAAAGGGGTGAATACTCCTCCCACCCTTAGTTTCAATGCCACTGCCTTCTGACTTTTCTTCCTTTCCTCTCCCTTTTGAATGGTCTTGTTTTCCACCAACCACATCAGCTGGTACCTCACAAACCCACTACCTGGCATTCCTGTGGCCAAAAGCCGAAAGTCCTCTTGTCCCAGAAGGAAAGACTCTAACACTCCATTACCCTGTCCAGAAACCCTTTTTGGAAACCCACCAGAGATGTTCTCAGATGGCTGCAACCGATTACACTGAAACAACAAGAAGTGTTGCCTGTACAGAACAAAAGTTTCAGGTGCCCCCCAAATTAATTCAGCTTTTTGGCATGAACTTGACCTCCCAGCACCAAAACATAGTGATCCAACACAAATAGGAAACTAAAGCAAAGCTGCGGGAAAAGCTTTTATTCACCGCTTCAGGAACGAGGCTTTCTTATAACTTGGTCAAAAATTTTGGTTTTGAGAATTTCAAAAGGATGTGGGGAAAGGAAAGGTGGTATGATCCCTGAGAACACCTCATGGCCCTCCCGCATCTTGTGTGTCTAATCTGAACCCCAAACTCATTGCTCTGGTGTTAAAATGGTTTGGGGACGGGGCAGTGCTTCAGGCAGGCAGGAGCCATTTATGACAAAATTATTTGTAACACTTTGGAGCACTTCTAAAAGCTTTTTAGGTAAAGGGCTGAATGGGTTTTTGTCTGAGGAAATCTAATGTATAAAGAGGTAGCCAGCCCCCTCAGCAGGTGACACAACCCAGATGCCACAGTGACTTGACACTGACTTTACAGCACTCTGGGGAGAGGAAGCAACTTCCCCTTGATCAGGCAACACCCAGGACCTCTCCTGCATCACTGAACACTCCAAAACGCCCCATCCCACCTCCTCCCCCCAGACAAAATGAAATGTTGTCCCCTAGGCATCGTTCATCAAAGCCAGGCCCCGTAATTAATAGCACCATTTGTTCAGGGGATTTCAACAGGTACTGAAATCCACAGCATCAAAGCATGGACAGCCTCATCCTGGTCTGGCAGATATAAATATGCCAGGAAGGCTTCACGTGACTCAGGAATCATTGTCCTTCTGAATAAAAAAGGGTTTAAAGGTCTTTCAAAGCACTGGGATCTCAGGCCCAGCAGGGGTGATCCTAAGAAAGCAGTGTTCCACGAGGGGACCTCATGTCACCTCATGTCAGCGGTTTTGGTCTTTTTGAGCAAGATTTTGGGCTGGAGTTGTCTTCACAGAAGTGACAACAGTCACAATTACAACAAATACCAGAACTCTGAAGGAGCAGGGAGGTACAACACAGCCCGGTGGTGCTGCCTGTTCCTTTGGCAACACCTCCCACCACAGCAGCTGACATCAGGGAGGGGGTGTTGAGAAGAGGTTACTGCCCACCTCAGAAATACAGCCCAGACTTCTGGAAGGCAGTGACACAGGGCTGAGCTGCAAACCCTTTGTTCCCCCTCTGCTGCAGCCAGAAGGGCTCAGCCCAGCACAAGATCTCAGCCTCCCGCTTAAAACTCATCAGCTCCCCCGCAACAATTTTTTGGGGGCCTGTGGTTTTTCAGCGGAATTTAAAGAACAAAACCTTGTTTCATTACATCATGGCTCCAGTAATGTCTAGGAAGGTTTCACATTTGATAAAATCTCCCCAGATTACCTTCTGAAAGCCTTGCGGTCGAGTGGCAGGGCTGGGAACGCAGGAATGATGTAAGAAACCACGGAATAGCTCACAGACCAGCTCCTCACCGGGAAACTTGGGAGAGGCAACACTCCTCCAAGGGAATGGTGCAATTAGCTGAAGTCCAGGAGCTGCTATGCCTATGGAGAGACAGGGAGAATGGCCTGGAGTTAACATATGCTTGGTCTCACTTGCAGGAATTCTGGGCCCAAGGTTTGGCCCTCCTTATCCATCCCTTGGTGTCCCAGTTTCCTCTGGAACCTCTCTGGGGAAAGAAGGTGAAAGGCCTGTGGGATTGGGTGGTGTGAGACTTTGTTCTCTGTCCTGGTTCTTTAAATGGAGGGGAATCTCCTTAAAGTGGGGACTCATACCCAGAGCTTGGCTGTAGGGGTGTCAGGGAGGATGGGCAGGGGGCATCCCTTCCAGATCTTCACAAATCTTACTTCTGATATAAATAAACATAATATGATACAATACAACAACAACAGTAATAATAATAATGATAATAATAATAATAATAAAATAGATAAAAATGGCAAAACACAGCAAAAACTGCCAAGCTACTCAGGGGGAACCTGAGGTAAACTTTCCCAAGAAACCATTAGTTTAAAAGAAATCTGTTTCATCCTTGTGCATTCTGCCTTCAGGAGACAAACACTTAATTTTGCAATCTATTCCTAACTGGCTAAGCCCTGTGCTTTGGTGGAGCACTGTATTGCACTGTATCCTGCCTCTCAGAGATGCAGTGGGAACCTCAAATCTTCACGTAAAGCTGTGCAGGCAAAATTTGTGCATTTAACAATACAAGGGTGGGCAGAAGGCAACCTCAAAATCCTCACCTCAGGTGACTTCTCCCATGTCACTCCAGTCAAAGACAAACTGAGACACAATAACCAAGAATTCTGATTCCCAGACTGTACTTATAACCACTCGTTCATGCTGCTTCTCATCAGAGCAATGTCACCACGAGACTTTTATTCAGCTGAGAGAACAGAAGTGACAGCAGCTCTTTGTTGGGATTGGCCCCTGAGCTTCCCTTGTCACACCATAATTAGCTGATTGTTTTAGTGTCATTTGGGTGTTCCATTTGTAAATACGTTTGGATGGTTAATTCAAAGATTAAGTCCCAAAAGCAGAGAATACAGCAGTGTTATAAGCCCTAAGAATAAGATGCTTCTCTTAACTAGGTGGCTCATCTCTTTTACTTGCTTTCTGCTCCGGGCTTAACCAAAGTCTTTGTTTTTGTCTTGAAACTCAAAGGAGCTGGAGCTTTTGCTGTAAACACAAGAACCAAGGACAGCCCCTGGCTCAAAGAGCTGACTGCCCAAACCAGGCAACAGGTAAGAAACAAAATCAATACTAACACCACCCCCTCCTCCTTGTAAAGCACGGGGAGATGACATGACATGACCTGCCTGGAATCATTTCAGCCGGAACAAAACTCACCAGAAGATCCCCTTCCTCCTGACCAGCAGCTGGAGGTGTGGGCATGAGTAGCCTGGTTCATATAGCTGAAGATTTCTATATACCCCAAGGCTTTGCCCAAACTGCCTCCCCTCCACGCCCTGGCACAGGTCCTTTGCCAAAGCAGCCAAAGATAAACGCCCCAGCCTGGTGTTGTTCCCAGCAGCCCATCTGCAGGCTTTGGCACTGAATTCCTGGTCGGTGCCTCCCTTTAGAACTGGAATCCAATTTACAAAGCCTTTAATTTTAAACTTTCTCATCACCGACTTAATAAAAGTAAATGACAGGTAATGGTCCCAGAAGCCAGGAGCCATTATGTCTTTCTCAACACTAATAAGGGCTGATCAGATGCTTGTGCGCTCCTTTTCCAGCTCACGGAAACCCAGGTCCCCAAGGACTCTGCAGCCGGGGGAGAAACAGGAAACCAACCCTCTCACAGGCAAGGGAAAAAAGGGAGAGAAAAGGGAGGGGGAAAAAAAAAAATAAATAAAAAAGAGAAACCCACGTCAATGTGGACACTTAAAACTGGGAACGGGCAGCAGGACGGCTGCAGATAACGCCCTCGCTCCGCTCCGGGTTCATCTGGGGCCCACGTGCTCGCTCCATTTCCCCGGCAGGGCACTGGGGGCTCTGCGAGGCGCTACAGGCACCGTGGCTGCACAGAGCCATGCAGCAAACCGGCTCTGATTTCTGCCCAAAGGCATCAGTGTCACACCGGTTGGGATGTCAGCTCGGCAGAACGTCAAGGCGGCAGTCACGGTGTGCTGTCACAAAGAGAAATAGATATCATTTCAAACACACAGCTCTGCACAGAGGAGGGAGAGGCAGGAGAGAGAATCCCATAATGCACTTTTTTTTGGTGGGGGGGGGGAGAGGGACAAGGAGGCTTAACTCTGCTTTGGCCATTCCAGAGGAGGCAGCAGTAGAGGACAGTCCATATCTTCAAACCAATGCATCACCAGGCTGGGAGGGCAGGTGGGTACTCCAGAAAGGACGCAGTTCTCATCTCTTCTCTATGCTTTTGGTTAGAAAAAAAGCACCTGGAATCAGCCTCCTAAGACTATTTCTGGATTTAAGAAGTTCCTTGGCCAGCACAAAGCTTTAGTCTTCACCTCTGGCACAAAGGAGAACGACAGCAGTGGCAACAAACAGGTGGTTGTTTGTCCTCCTCGAGTTACATCTCCACACTTGGGTGATAAAGGAGACTTCAAACCCGACCTCATTCCTACACCAACTGTCTTAGTAAAAACCAGGCCTTGCAGTCCTCACATCCCAGGTGTGAGGCGATCCTGGCTCCATATGTTGCAGGACACCCTTTCCCAGAGAAGGGTGGCTGTTACACTCAGGTCTTCCCCCACTGCAGAAGCCACCAAGGTGACTCAGGCATAACTTGCAGACACTCCACCTCATCTACCTCATACCCAGGTGACAGAAAGCAACTGTGGCACTGTCAAGAGTGGAAAAAACGGCATCAGACTCTCCTTTTCCATTAGAGGAGAAGGACCATGCTGGGGCAGCTCCTCGCTCCTTCCTTTTCTTCTTGTCAGCATTGCCTGGCTTCTGCTTTGGTTTCACTCCTGTTCAGGGTGGCATTACCCCTGCTGTGACCTCCCTTTCCCAGACCACACTTCTTCCACCCTGATTTAATATCTTTCTATTTGCCATCCAGTGCACGCACACAGGGAAAAAGAGAAGAGGGGAAAAAGAGAGAGCTGGAGAGGAAAGAGAGAGAATTCTCCCCTCAGTTCTGCTGGTTTGAACAGATACAGTTTCGTGAGATACCTGCCAAGAGTCCTGCCCACAAGAAACAGTGGCAGTACCACAATATTCCCAATATCTTCTCCTAGGTTTAGGTCACCACATTTCCATATTTTCAAAGAAACACTTTTCAAGTAACACCTTTAAGTGTCACAAAAATGCCATCCAAGAGCATATATACATTTCCAAAAGAAAAGTGGATGGAGTTAATTTTTGAGAGAAACACGATATTTCCAAGAGCTAATTATTCCTCGTTCCCTGTAGATCATTCACTCTCTGCCCAGGTGCACAGAGGAAGCAGCACCAAGGAGTTTCAGGCTTCATCTTTGAGGGCATCTTCATGGAAGGCTGGGAGACAACACAGCAAGTTTATCTTGTTACTCCACCCCTGGTGTCTGTGCAGCACTTTTGATGCACAGAGTCTGTATCACAGAAAGCCCTGGAGCCTGTTGCAATATAATTAATGTGATAGGAAATCTTGTACTGGAGCACAGCCAGGATTTTCATCACACTCAAGCCTCACTCAGTAACCACTGGACTTTCCATTCCTCCCTCAGCCACCCACCTTATTTGTCTTTGCTTCCCAGTTCCTCTGAAGCACCTTTTAAACCCTATTGACATGATTGTTAGCTATGGTAGCACACAGGATCTAGGAAGGGCTCTGTCTGGAGCAAATTCCTTGCCTGCTGGCTCGTCTCTAGCCTAAATCAAGGCTCTCTTATCCCTCCCTGCATGTGACACCAGCTCATATAGCCTTGAAACCTCGCACTTCCCTATTCCCTTCAGACATTTTTGTACTTAAAAGTGGCTCCTCCTTCTTCACTCCTGTTCTTTTCCTCCCAAGCCTGGCTTTCCAAACAAAATTCTTCCAGCTTTTCTGAACGGTGAGAAGTCTCCCCAGACCCCTCATTTCCCTGCTTATGCTCTGCCCTGTACCCTGGCTGTCTCTCTGATAATAAGGTGCATACATTGTATTTTACAGCTGCAGAAAGAAGGGGGATTTATACATGTGGCCTCTTCTAAGTGCAACACACAGGCCTGGATCCTCTCCCAACATCTGCTCCTAGTCTGCACAAGGGGAATGAAAGATGCTGCAAGGTTTGTAGCTTGTGTAAGAAAGATCTCATGAAGAATTGCAATAGCACAGCCCTAACCCTTGGGAAATGGGTACGGGCAGCCTCTTGGAAGGAGGTGTAGCCTCTACAGGGATGTTTCTTCTTGTAACACAAGGTTTTTCACCCCACTCTTTACTGGTAAATAGCATTTGTATTGCTTCTTACTACATCACAGTGTTGAACAGAAGAAAATACCTGTAGCCTACAAGAGATTTGTAAAGAGGTTTGTGCCACATCCATGCAGGAAACAGAGAGCAGAGTGAAGAAGAGAAGCTGATGTCCTGGTGTCTGGGGTGACACATTTGCTGAATGAACATCTGAATATTTTCTTATTCTTTTTAAAAAATAAGAACTCCTATTTTTGCACTATTTATACTTTCCAGTCACCCATGGGCTGTACTGAGCTGTCACCCCAAGCAGGGTGTTGGTTCACTTCATCCAAAATCCTGTCTATAGGGAAATGTCAACAAGGCCTTGCTGGTAGTTTTGGTTTAACCCAGCTCTGAAGTGACCCCACAGCTTTGAAATCCCAGGAGGACAATGCTTCAGACACTCTCCCAGGAATCCAGCTTGTTGGGGCAGTATCTGTGGTTGGACCTGCATGAAGAGTCCAAGCAAAAACCTCACAAACGGTAAATCTGAGATGTCTGAGGTGCTCTGGAGTTCCTGGGTGGGGAAACAGCAATCCTCACCTCCAACATGACCGTGCAGGAGCAAACCCAAGGCCAGCAGGACTTTGTTCAGGAATATTACTGATCTTTAAAGCAACCATTTCTCAGCCAACCTTCAGGCTGGGC